ATGTAGGAAGTAGTACGCTTATTCAACGATAGAGGTCGCGGAGGCGTTGCGCTTAGACCTAAGATAGAGTTTCTTTTCTTTATGATTATTATTATTTTTATTCTTGCGATACGGCATTGTTATTAAAAAGCTGCGTGGTAACGACGGTTCCAGCTACCGACTCTGTATTTCATTTAACTAATTGTGGGTACTAATAAAGATTCCTACAAAATTGGGGGCTCGTCCGCTCGGTACGAAACGAGAAAAACGCTGATTGCAACGCAGAAAGACGAAGAAGACGACGTTAACCTCAAAAGGGAAACATTGTACATGTATATGTTTTTCCAAAAAAGACGTGACGGAAACATAAAGACGACGACGACGACATTGCTTTCCCTATAAGAAGGTAAAAGAGAAAGAATTATCGCTTAATAAAAAGTAAGTGAAGACGATATACAAAAAGACGGAAGCATAAAGACGACATACGACGACGATAAACTGACGAAAATGGAAAATCTAGGACAAATTGTGTCAATACGAGACAAAATCAAAACTGCATCTCGTCCTGCAATACAGGCATTATATAAGTTGATATTCGAGAAAGAGGGAGATAGAACTAGTCGACATAAACTGCGAGAATTTTCTGGATTTACTTTTCAAGATGAATCTGACGAATATCGAACGAAATTTGAATATTCTAATATTTTTAACATTGGAGACCTAACCTCAATATGTAATCTGCTAGGCCTAAACTATACTGGTGCTAGAGAAGAGTTACGGTCACGTGTAATACATGCACTCATGGACATCAACAGTCTTGTTCCACAAGATAATCAAGACGAAGACGGGGAAGACGATGATGATGCAGACAATGAGGACACAGATGATAATGTTTCCCAACACAGCAGTAATAATCAAAGTGGACCAGTAAGTGACAATAGCTGCTTAGAAGACGATAGACATAAAAGACGAAAAAAGAAGGTTAAATTTGCTCTGCATTTTAAAGACGTAGAAGATACAGTCCGTACGATGGAAGCAACAGCTATCCAGTTGAACGCTGGATCACTGACTTTGAGGACACAGCCATATTATTTGAATGGAATAGCATGCAGAAATTAATCTTTGCAAGAAAATTATTAAAAGGTGCGGCCAAAACATTTTTACAAAGTGAAGGAGTGGTCAAAAGTTGGAAAAAGCTAAAGATAATGCTAGAGGAAGAATTCAGTTCCAAAATCACTGGCGCTGACTTACATAAGATGCTTGCAACCAGAAAAATGAAGAAAGAAGAAAGTGTACAAGAATACTACCTACTGATGAAAGAACTTGCTTCACGAGGTACCATTGACAAGGAATCTGTCATACAATATGTGATTGATGGAATTATGGACGAAGAAACTAACAAAATACTACTATACGGGGCGAAGGATTTTATTGATTTCAAAGAACGTCTACGCACTTATGAGAGGATGAAACTGATACAAGATAGAAAAACGGCTAAAAATAAGGACCATACAAAAAACAGAGAAGATTCGTCCAAGCAGGTAAAAAAAGATGCCAAGGAATCATCAAGTAAGACCTTCAATTGCTACAACTGTGGCGG